GAGGCCCCGAGTGATGGGAGCTGGTTGTGCGCATGAGTGATGTCGAAGGTCTATGGATGATTGGGTGTCCTGTCAAGGGTTGTTGATTGCATGCATGTATGTGTGTACGTATCTTTCCGGGCGGGGACGGGGGAACTGAACTGGAGGACCGTCTGCTTAGGAGTATGAGTGTGTTGATCCTGTTGTTCCCCTCCCTTCCGCGCCCCTTCCTGCAGGCACGCGCAGTCTCGGTGTAACTCACTCTCTCTCTCTCTCGCGCGCCTTTCTTTTTGAACTGGTAGTCATCGCTTTTGAAATTCTCGTCTCGGCACCGGTGACGTCAACCGCCTGCGTCCGCGCGCGTGGTCGACGCCCTCGCGACGGGGAAGAGAACTTAGTTTCCATCATCTTCTTCCGGCGCACTAACCTTGACAGAGAAGGGTTACATCGAGTGTTGTATGGAGACGGTGTTGGTACGGAGGACCGGGAGCGCGGGGTTCGGCCCGTGTTCATCGCCTGCCTCCGATCATCCCATCTCGCTACCGGCCTTTCCCATCGCAGATGACGATGGCATCTACTGCGATGCGGATGTACGGCACGCTTTGAGTCGAACGGAGCAAGTCTATTGGCGGGACCCGCCCCGGGCGTTTAATATTAGGGGAGACGGGTTCGTCTTAATTGATCGCTTCGATTCCCCGACTCTAATATTGCCTTATACGGATTTGACTGTGTTGCACTGGTCGGCCGCTCACGCCACGTGGCGGCCGCAGTTTGATTGTCGCGGGTGTCGCTAGGGGGACTCGTGTTCTTGGCGACGACTGGTCCTGGGCTACGAGGGAGCGGCACGTTTCCCGGAGCTCTCCCGTAGTGCGGGGGCGCTGCCCGCGCAATTTCGAATTCGGGGGCCGGCAAGCTCTCCCGTCGCTTCACCCTCTCGGAAACTTCCGCGCGGACTTTGTGAGTCCGACGCCGAGGCCTGAAGGCCTCGAACCAACCACCTCTACAACAAAAACCCGACAGCCCGGTCTTCGGTCCTTAGCCGTCGTGGCCTCCTCCCCCTGCGGCCTTTCTTCGTTTTGATTCACTGCGGCAGTTCGTCTTTGCGGAACTATTCGGTTTTCGTCACCCTGGACTGACCCGACCTCCACGGGACTCCGTGGCGAAAGATCGATCCCGGGATAACCTCTGGTTCAAAACGAGAGTCTCCCGTTCCGACCGGGAGACTCAACCCCTACGGCCAAAAATCCTCGGCCACGCCCCTCCTATAACTCTGATCGGCGACTCGGTACGGGAAGCCGCGAGGGGGCGTGAGGTTGCGCATGGGTCAGCATCATATCCCAGCGGTGGCAGACAAGGGCAAGGGGTCGGCAGAGGCATGCTTTGGGTGGGAACTGGATGCCTCTGTGGGAGTAGGGGGGGGAACGGGTTTGTCCCAAGTTGGGGCCAATGAGGAGTGTCCATGATCAGGGGCGGTCTTTTTTGGTGGAGGCAGCGGTGGGGTAGGGGGACGAGGGGGACATAGGGGAATTTCTATATCCTTTGTTTGTATTTGGTTGGGACTTTTCCTGATTGAATTTCTTTTTGGAGTTTTCAAAACAAGCACCCTTGTTATTCCTGGTAGTCTGAAGAATCTCTTGGGACTCTGAGGGTCTGCTGGTGGTTCGTACGAAGCTGCACTGGAATTAGATTGTTATATTTAGGATCCGTGGCTGTTCAATGCCAGAACGACGCTGGTCGGAGCCAGGTTGATGCCGTGTAACTTGCCGAAGGTGAGGGCATGAGGCCTTGTACAGAGATCTGGGGATGCTATGCGGGGGCATCCTAAGGGACAGCTGGGGGTTGCTGAGACAGGACGACAATGGCCGGAGCTGGAGTGAGTCGCGTTGCTCTGTAACCTAGCAGATAGGGGGCAAGAGTCCTGGATGAGTTTGTCAGAGAATAAGTCAGTTTTAGTGAGCTTTGTTATGATCTGTTGGAAATCCCTTAGATATTCGAGTGTTCTGAAAATTGCGGTGGATTTCAGGAGGTGTTTAGCGATCATAGAAAAGGATTCGTAGTCTTCTCATCATCTATCCCGAAGTCCAGTAGCTTGTTCACGATCTTGGAGGATACTCTCAAGCCGAAACCGGGTAAATGGCCCCGGTACCTCAATTGGTTCATAAATTGTTTTGTACATGTCTTCTTCATATGGGACGCTGGGCCCGATTCCCAGCACGTGCCGCTCCCCGCCAATAGATTGGAGCATGTCTTAAA